GATGAAGAACGAACAGGTAGATGGACACACAGAGGCAGGTAGGTGGAGAGACGTATAACTTGTGCTGGTACTGCTTTCACAGAACTTACCATCATGTCATCTAGTGCATTTCATCTTTACTTGATGAACTCTGTGCTCAGATAACATCTATGTAAAGTCTGTGCTAGAAGTTACCAGAACATAGTGATAATCTACAAATGTGTTTTAGCAATGCCTTTCTTCAGTAGATTTGCACACTTTTCTCCAGTGCTCCAAGGTGTGGCTAGTTATCAGACGACTCCAGTCTCCAGGGGCAGTGCTAAAGATGGCAAATCTTACTGAGAGCCCAGCAGTGCTCGGTAGTGCTATACAGCTTTGAATAATAGTCTGCATCAGGATTGATTACTGACACTTCATAAAAAGTTCCAGTTCTGATTCTTCTGATTCTAAGCACAGACTTTGAAGGAAATACTGTGTCCTTTACTCAAAGAAATGGGTTATGTGAAGTGTATCTTTGAGGTAGATTTTTTTAAACTGACTTTATTCATCATTAGTTTCCTCTTCCATATAATAAGCTCTGTTCTAGATTAATCCCTAAAGGCCAAATATTATTACCATTCTGTAGACCCAATGTTCTTTTTATAATGAGAAAGTTTCCTCAAGGAGAAGATAGTTTTGCAACATTCTGGAGGTCAGACTCCGTATTAGGTCTTCCAAAGAAGAAAACTGCCCACAAAAATGCTTATCTTGTGAACTTTGTCTGTTGGTTTTTTTTAAACTTGGTTGTTCCAGCTGTTTCAGTGGGTGGAAAGTGATGATGTGTCCACAGAACAAGAAATGGTGCTGAAGATCCTAGCCAGTAGTTTAAACTAAGGAAGTGGACACAAGCCAGTAGAGGATTTATGTAACTTCATCTCCTTTTGTACTTGATACTAATTCCTTTCTTTGTGGTGTATAGCATTTTGACTTTTTTTTTTTTTAAATCCTGATATAAATTTAACAATAGGGAGGATAACTGCCTCGTTTAGTTTATTTGACTAACAGTTTATAGAAATTAGAAACAGATAGCAAGCTCTATCACTCAGCATGAAATGTTCCAGTTTTGAGAAAAGAAAACCACTCATTCATCTGTTTAACAACTAAGCAGTTATCCAGTTCTGCTTTTCAGGAACACCCAAACTCGTCCTCAACCTCTTCAGTGTTTGGAATATGCAAAGAATGCAAGACTGAGCCTGGAGCTGGTAAATTCTCCCTTTAATAACCTTACTTCCATGTTTGTAGATTTACCCAAGTTCTGCCAAACTCTACTTTCTGTGACACTCATTCAAATCCAGGTTAACTCTAAGAGTCTTGTTCAGGATTTACACTGGTTTCCCTGAAGGAATAAATTGGTCCAAAAATATTACAATCGTAATAATAATAATAAAAAACCCCACACCAAAATCTAAATAGAACATTAAGACTTAATGTCATTGCGTTTGTGGATTCAAAAGAATTAGTCACATAGAGATCTCCCCTCTGAGACCTCAGATTCTTCAGCCAAATGTTTATTTTAGTTTTTAGGATTTTTGTCCAACATGTACTTAATTTGCTGGCCCATTCCTGAAAATGTAAGGCTTCCCATTACAGATAACCTGGGGTTTAGTAAGCTATAATTTTGCAAATGCTACATTTTAATCTGCATGCCTTTTTCCTGCCAATTCTTTCCTTCATGCCTATGTGGTCTGACTTGATTCCAGAAGAAAAATCAGGATTGTATTATTTTCAGAGTTTACATAGCTTCCCCCCCACCCCCCAAGTTGGCCAGGATGCTATTGCTTTCTCCTGCGTCATGTGTGAGTGCAATAATATCATCCACCACGCTAAAATATTGTGTCATTTGGAATCCTATTGTATAAGTAGTGAACCCTTTCTGTATTGCCCCTAAGAACTTTTTATAAAGACTCAAGCCTCAATGGATATGGAAAAAACCCCATCTTTTTAACAAATATATTTGAGATGGGTTTATATTTATCTGAACTCCTAGAATTTGGATGATTCTTCTGAGTTTCATAAAATATCTTAAAATAACTTTTTTTCCAATCCTCTCAGATCAACTGGCATTTGAGTTTTTCCGAGTAGTTTAGGAGTAGTTTAGTAGTTTTTTTCTGTATTCTGTCAACATTAGGGGTCTTTATTAAGAAAGCTTCTGTCTAATTTTTTTTCAGAGGAACTCTTTTTGGAGGACCTTATTCTTTTATGGTCACGTTTTCCCAGTAGACACTTATTGCATAAATCTTACTGCTTTGATGGTTAGTGATGCAGGAAACTGTGATGTAGCCTTGAGGTTCCACCACTTCCTGTTCTTCCAGGACAATGTTCTAAAATGCAACCAGAACTTTTAAATTGTTTCATTATAGGCATCTGTATTCCTTGAGAAAATTCATAACTTGCTGGGTTGCAGGAATTTGGTAGGCTATAGAAGTGCAAAATATGTCTGCATTTCTGTGTTCATTTATTGCTACTGGAAAAGGGCATGGATGTGCTCCAACCTAATGACTGTCTAGAACTCAAACAAATATTTCAGGTTCTGGTTTTGCAGTAGCCAGAAATTTGACTTGTAATAACTACTCACAGTTGCTCACAACTCCTTCCTTAAATATTAGTTGTTGGATTTGGTTTTGGTGTTCCTTGTGATTCCATTCATTGGTGGGGGAAAAAGCAGGATTGACTCACCTGGAGACAAGAATTAACTTAACATGCAAATGCATCACAGAGGGGTCTACAGTGATGACTGTTGGAGGAATGATATTTAGGGATATGAAAGCAGCTAAGTTCTTGTTAGCTGAAAATAGTAACTCTGTACTTCAAGAACAAGGGTTCATTTCAGCTGGGCTTCTCAAGAAACATTCATTGATGAAGTTGTGTCAGACAAGAGCTAAACTAGATTTGGAAAAATCAACATATGTGAAAGGTTCATTGATCATTGTTGAATAGCTTTTATCTGTTAGTTGTAAAGTATTTACACTTACCTGTAATTACTTAATCTTTCTTGACCTGAATTGAACATATTTTTAAAGCTTTTATCCAAGGATGTGAGTTATGATACTACAGCAGCAGTTTGCATCTGACAAGAGAATATGGAGCTAGGGTAACTTGTACAGTAATTTGCAATATTTCTGTTTTTCTAGAAAAGCTGTCCTTTTTAAGAACTTTCAGATAATCTCCTAAGAGCCCTTTCAATGGGAATTATCCTGCTTTTATATAACGTACAATACTATTTTATTTTGTATGAGATGGTATAAAATCACCCATTCTTCACTCAAAGCTTCCACCAAAATTGGGTTTTGATTGAGAATGAATTGCTGTGAGATATGGATAAAAGGTCAGTTGATATGGTCCTGAATAATTGAGACAACATTTCTGAGAGATAATTAAACAGTTTTATTTCTTTATTTTACTGTTGCAGGAATAAGGCAGACAGAATAAATACAAGGCCAAGACAGAATTGTAGATTAGGGATTTCTTGACACTCGAGTTAAGTGCATTAAATTGTACCAAGTGGAAGTATAAACCGTGCAGTGCCAGCTTAAGCCTACACTAGATCCCATGCTTCCCAATGTTTCACGTTAATTAAAATCTAGCAAAGTAGTAGCTGTACACATTGTGTTTAGTTACACAGATTCTACGAAGCGTTAAAATAGTTGAAGAATATTAATGGCTTTAGATTTAAAACTCATTAACCATTACCCTATTGACAGCTGAATAGAGTTTCTCAGCACTCCTCTGGGCCAGTGCCCCTTCATTCTGCTGTGGAAAACCAGAAATGTTTGTTGGCTCAGCTAAAAATGTTTGGGAATACTGGCGGTATCGAGTGAGACAACGTGGATGCCTGCTCACTAAAGCAGATCTGTTCAAACTATAGATATTGCCACTTTTTCAGAATGTAAAATAGTATTTTTTGTCAAAATCCTTGTTTAAAGTTATATTTACTGCCAGAAGGTTTTTTTTTTTATTATTATAATCTGGTAAAAGTGTGTGTGTTATTAGAACCAGAATTCTGAAAAAGCTCCTTCAGAGTTGAGTCTTGTTACAAATCGATAAATACGACTTCTTTCTCAAAATGGTAAGGTTTGTAATTCATTGCCTGAATCTTGACCCAATGTAGTGTGAATTGTGGCTTCATCGAATGAAAGTGGACCACTGAGTAATTTTGAAAAGAAATTTTGCAATGTCACAGCATTGCCTGTTTCCAAATAAAACTTGGCAGCTTCTGATGAATTTTCTTTGAGATCTGAGGAACAGAAGGCTTCAAGTACAATCCATGAAGTACATATGCAGTGAGAAAGCTGTTTTGTCACAGACACCTTTGAGTAAAATCCTTAGAACACCACCAGTTCCAAATCAGCCTCTCTGGTTTTGTGTTGACTTATACCACTTAGACCTTTCTGTTAAATCTCAATCAAACAGAAAAGCAAAAATGTGTGCAGATTGGACTAAATAATGGTCTCTGAATTATAGATGATTATGATTCATATATTACCTCTTTCGACCTGGACATTCTTTTGATGCCTGAAGAATAATATTGTTTAAACAAAGGTTAGATTAAAAAGCAAACAAAAAATACACAAACTGAAATCCTTCTTCTCTAGCATGTTCCATCTGTCCTAACCAGTTGCCATAGTGGAAAAAAAAAAAAAGAAATTATGCATCTTTTACTATTTTCAGTTCATTAACATTTACAGGAAGCTCCAGTAATCGGGATCTACAAAAAAGATTATTTGCAGCCACGCTCAGAAAGGACTAATTTCTGTTCACCTCGAACTGAAATATTCTTCTGTCTTTATTTTGTAGGCTTTTTGTTTTCATTTCAGTGAGTGATCTGCATGTTATGAATAAATTTACCAAAGTAGTGCTGAGCTAAGCAGGGAGTATTATAAATAATCCCACTGAAGGAAAACATGAACTGGCAAAATATGTTCGAGAGACATTGGCTATGTATGTCCTTATCTTTTCACGTTCTTCTCTTTGTATTTCCTTAGATCATAGATGAAGAAGAAACACAGTTCATGAGTAATTGTCCTGTTGCTGTTACTGAGAGCACACCTAGAAGAAGGACACGCATTCAAGTGTTTTGGACGGCTCCTCCTACCGGTACAGGCTGTGTAATTCTGAAGTAAGTATTTTAAAGCGCATTAAACTAACTTTTAAAGTAAAATTCAGTTAATAATAAATCTAATATTTATTAGATTAAGAACTACTGGAGTTCTTAGATGCTTTTTTCTCCTTTGACACTCTTGACGAAGGATAGTTCTACTTGCACTGTTAAATGTTAGCAACTTAAAGCCCAAGTGTTCAAAAGTTACTCCAAGCCTTCAGTAATCATTGAATTGGTAACCCTAATTGAACTTTGTAGGCTCTCAGCCATTTATTTCACCTAAAAATCTAAAAATTCTGAATCTTTAAGATCAAAATTGCATCCGTCTGGTTGAGATTCAGGTAGAAAACAGGCTCTTAGTTGAGATGAATAATAGGAATGTTCTGTAGAGTCAGGATTTTCTAAATGGACCATTATCAGTAAAACCAGATCTATTTGTTTAGAGGTGAATGCTTTCATTTTAGAGCCAGTGATCTTCTACTGATGTTTTCCAATTACTCCTACAGTCTATTTCTAAAGCATGTGTATTCATGCTTTTTAAGCAATAGAAAAAGGTAAGATTATGTAGGTGCACTTTGCTTTAGGGCCACTCATTTGTCTGTAGAAACCTAGAGTCACTTCTTACTATGAAGAGTATCAGAGGAAACTGCCAGAGAAACATTGTCCTGTCTCCTTTTGCTTGTCATATTTAATAGGACAGATTGGTCAAATATGCATGGACAATCGGGATTTCTTTGCTTGCTTTGAATCTATGTCTGGGATAATTTGCAATTGCTAAGATGTGCCCTGCAGTAGACCAAAGAATTTCAGAGTCTTGTCAGTACTGGGGATTGCCTTTAGAGACACAAAACAGCTCTAGGCTTTTAAGAAGATGCTAGCACAAAGGTTGGGCTGACGATAGTTCAGGCCAATTCAGGAAAATGTGTTGTTGTAATTGCAACTGATTTCTGAACAGGCTGCAAAATTGCTACCGGCAAAACTTGTCCACGGCTGCCCTCCTCTCACCCTGTGTTTCAATTCCTTCTCCTTTTGCTGATTGGCACAAGGGATAAACACCTTCTTCTTCCACATCTGTGAGGGTGATCTAGCCCCAACCCTGACACTGGCTGTGGAAGTCTCAAATCTTTGGCAGTGCACTTCTACCTGCTGCCTCTCAATATCAGTAAAATAATTTTGTTTAAGATCATCTCTTTTAATATGCACTGAAGCAGTTCAAGAATACACTTACAGTCTCTTCTTAAGCTCAGGGCAGACAAGTGTACATTGGACTGCAGCAAACTGACGGTTGGACTCGATGATCTTAGAGGTCTTTTCCAACCTAAATGATTCTGTGATTCTGTGAAAACTGTGAAGCCTGCTGCTTGCTGGATGGCCAGACAGGTTGTGTTTTAAAGTTTATATATGGAATTTTTCAAGAAGCAATCAAGAAGATTCTGTCAGTGTTGCTGAGCTGTTTATCAGTAAAGCTATTTGCTTGCCTCCCTGTTAGTTGTTTAACAAATATTGCTTGAGACACTTACCACTTCAGTAGTGTAATAATAAGGTGATGATGTTTTATTCATCCTTTTAAAGAGACAAGATTAAAACTTTAATCCAGTAATGACATGCAACAACACAAATTGATGGATTTTTTTTTTTTTCATTACTGTCCTAAGTAGAATTGCCATTACCAAAAAAAATGAACCAAGACCTATACTTTTCTCACTGAAACTTAAACATCTGTGGCTGAAGTTGGTTTAGGGGCCTGCCTGGGTCTTGTCAGCAAAGGAATATAGTAAAATACCACCAACTGCGGGAACCTTGATAAATGTTTCTTCTCTCTCCTCTCTGCTGGTCAAGTCATGCTGGATATTCAACAGACTCTGATTTTTATACTGTGAAGTACTTGCATTATTGGAGAAAACTCAAGAGAGAATCCAAAAAGTAACACCGTCAGAACTGCAGTTCTGATGTTATACACACAAAAGTATGACATTGTCACTGCCTTAAAGAATGTACAGATTAAATCAGCGGCATACAACCTTCTCAGGCTGCTGGATGTACATCAGTAGTGCCAACAAAACAATGAAGTGCCAGTATAGAGTTAGATTAGCTGACTGGCACCAGTTCCCGTAATCTGTTTGGGCAGCTAAAAGAACATCTTAGAAATTGAAGTTCACGGGGGAAAGGAAAAATTTTTGGTGTTATAACCGCTTATTTACAGTGTGTGTGGGTATCTTAGGTGTGTAAGTGGTGGTGAAAGGGAAAGGAAGTTGTTAGGTACGTTCCAGTAAAAAACGTGAAAAATAAAAGCTGCTCCCAATGGTTGCTTTATTGACCTCAGAGGGTAAGTAATTGCTCCCTTCCTGAGGACATTTCAAAGAAAAAATGAAACAGTCAACATTATTATGAGTTGCTGATGCCAGAAATTAACATCATAATGTGGCATTTGTTTGCGCTGCGGTGCAGTTCTCCATGGCATTATACATAGCAATTACTGATGTGGTTTTGGCATTAACATTTACATTTTTTCTTTTGTATGTAAAGCTTTGACCACATCTGAATTAGAGTTTAGAGTCAGCATTCTTTATAAACCTTCTTTATGTCAGCTCCCATAGAATAGCATAGAAATGTTAGATACAATTTTCAAAATTATTCTGTCATTTGTGAGAGCTTTAATGATACAATAAAAACAAAAGTCTAAAAGCAGTTACTATTATAAATAGTTAAGTCCAAACTCATCATGGAAAAATTCTGAAACCTTGAACTTTAGAGGAAACAAAAGCCCTCTGTATTTTTCTTTTTTCTGTGTGTGATGGGAGTGCAAATAGTTTTTTATTATCAATACCTATCTGTTTCAGTCCTTGGAGGCTATCTGATAATTTTCTTTCAGAATTTCCAAAGCAGAATTGCAGCGTTTTGGAGCCTGTTCTGAATCATAAGGATATACTTCTTCCTTTTCATTATGTCCTGGTCTACTGACTTCAATATGTAGAAAAGTTAAATGAAGTCACAATTTAAACATAGCTGATCCATAAAAACTTATTATGGTTTTAGTGCCAAATATTGGGGCTTTTTAGATTTATAATGGTATAATTAAGTATAGAGACTTCCAGGAAGTTTTCCTTGGACTACTACTGAGGTTTGGGAACTTTTTTTTTCATGGTTTGTGAAATCTGATACCTTTGATAGAAGCACCTGATTGCCTGCATTTGGCTAATAGTCTTCTCAATGCTTTCTAGGCATAGTGCATGTGATCAGTTTGGTTGTGACAAGCACAACATGACACAGACAAATGCTAATCTGTAGCTCCCGGGTTCAGCAAGGGATGCTAAATCTTTTGGCATGAGCACATATGTGTGTAATGCTAGCTTTCTGGGTGACTGCAAAATATAAAGCTTAGGAGAATTAACATATATTTGAATTCGACTTATCATCACTACTTTGCTTTCTAAAACATTTCTTTCTGTGTGAAAACTTAGAATTGGAAAAAAAAAAAAAAAGAGGGAGGTGGATTAACATGTGATGTTGCACTGTAATTGCTTAGTCGAGAACAATTCATCCATTCTCTTCATTCCCACTAAGTGATGACAGTGAAATAGCCTAAAGGGTCGAATCCTTCCAGACTCTTTATTGAAACTGCCAGTGTACTGAATGTACTGCTGGGGTGCAAACAATAGCTGAGGCTCTATTCGTCCAAGCATTTAAGCCTGTGCGTGAGTCTCACTGAAGACACAAGACAGATGACTTTGCTTAGGTGTTACACATTGCTTAGGAGACCCTCAGGCTTTAAGCCCTCTTTCTGCTTGCCTGATGTATGCTAGGGACACTGTGCAGCTAAATCCAGTTGTAGCAAGGTACGCAGGCTCCAGCATACCAGCTCTTAAAGTAATTTCTGCAGGTGGATGAAATGGAGAAACAGCGTATCACTTTGGGGGTGGCCCCAGACACTGCAAGACGATTTTAAGCACCTTGATTTTTAGAATGATCTAATGGAAATGGAATGCATCGTCGACTGCCAGATAGTGTCGTCAGCCTCATCACAGCACTAGGTACTTGAATAGGAAGTTTTGCTATGTGGAACAAAGTTGTTATAAAAAGATAAATCAACAGAATGCACTCGGATCTTATTTAGCAATAAGGATTCACTTGGCTGCCTCAGCATCTGTGCTAGCTTCAGAAGCTACCCAAATATCGGCATGAGCAGGAAAGCACTTACAACAGTATCTTTCTCGCTTCTATGGTTGAAGATATCTGTTTGGACCATTCTGAGCTGTCATGCTGTGCGCAGTCTACTTGTTTTCATGTTCACGATGCAGCATTTAATCTTTCTATCCCTGTTTACTTTCCCTTGTTCCTTGTGATTGGTCGGACACTATGGTGCCATGTGGCAATATGGCAGGGGAGGACCAGGTCATTTCCTTCATCTTCTGATAAAAATTTCTGTTCTAAAACTTATTTACTATTTCTGGGGTCTTCAGAATGTATTTGCTTTCTAGCATCTTTGAAAACCTACTGTTAAAACTTCCATGAGAGATATTTATAATTATTTTCGCTATGTGCAATTTATATAAACACTAATTATATAGACAATTGAGCAGTGGTAGAGCCTGGTGGTATTTATATCATCACATGGAAGTGGAGAAATTTTCAGGGGTTTGAATCAATCTGGTTTAATATTTTGTACAAGTGAGTCTGAAAACGGTTTTAACTTTTCAAAAAAATTTTTTTCTGCATGTAGACTGTCATGCTTGGTTTAGCATGTTCTACTTTTCAGCAAAAGTAGAATAGCACACGTGCCTTTTTTTGTTTTTATATCTGACAGCTAATATTCAGAGACTGCTTAATTCTGTAAAAAAAACAGCTAATGGAGATTTATCTAGTTTAACAAGGGGAGTCTTAAATATGGATTTCAATAAGTGATTTACACCATTGACAAAAAAAAAGACAATAAATGTTTATTAGAAGTTTCTTAGCAGTGATGGAGAATCACCTCTTTTAGGACTTTTTTAGCCCCAGATTTCTAGATTCAACTGGTT